CAATAAGAATAAGCTCGGAGGCGGCGAGGCCGGGGCGGCGGGAGCCAGCGCGGCGACCGCAGCGAGAGCGGCGGGGACGGAGCAGACCACGACGAAGGCGCACAGGCAGCCGGGCCGGGCCGGGCCACGGGGAGAGCGGCCGCCGGGAAGCGGGCGGGAGGCCGGGCGGGCAGCAGGCAGCTGCCGAGCCGCGAAGCGACATGGTGCTGCTCAAGGAGTAGTGAGTGTCCGGCCCGCCGTGCGGGAGCGAGGAGAAAGGGAGGGACGAGGATGGCGACCGGGGAGGCTGACGGCTCGGCAGAGGGCATGCAGTGGCTGGCCGGGGGCCCGAGAGGATGGAGAGCGCTGGATGGGCTGTTGGGCGGCCCACCAGGGACCAAGGGGAGAGCGAGGGCCAGATAGGGCCCGAGGTGTGGCCGAGGGGAATGGAGAGAGCCGAATAGGCTTAAGGAGATGCTGAGGGGACAGTGAGGGCCGGACAAGACCTGAAGTGGGGTCAAGGGGACAGTGAGAGCTAGACAGGTCCGGAGGAGGGCCCGAGAGGACAGTGAAAGCCGGACGGGGCCTGGGGAGGAGCCGAGGGAACCGTGAGAGCTGGACGGAACCTGAGGAGGGGTTGTGGGGTGGGCCTACAGGGGGAGCTAGGGGCTGATGAGCTGCAGGAGGGGCTTAGGGAACGCTTGGGAGAGGCAGGAATTGTCTGAGGGGCTGAGGACCAGTCACACAAGGGCAGGCGGGACTGGAGTGCTGGGGAGGGGTTTGAGAGCTGAACAGTACTAAGAGGCCAGGAAGAGACAGCTTAGGGAATGGAGTTGAGATGATGGGAGGGGTGCTGAGGGGAACCTGGGGTATGAGGAGTGGCTGCCTTATGTATCAGGAGAAAGATTGTAATAAGTGGACAGAGGAAAATGGCTAAGGAGTCAGGGTGAGGTTTGGGTGATGGGGGAAAGGTCCGAGGAGATAGAGCAGTGGGAACTGAGATGAGGGGTGGCTGGAGTGACATGGTGCCCAGGTGGTAGGTGCACAAGAAGAGGCTTTCGGGAAAAAAGCTTGGGATGACTGGGAGGTACTTGGGAACACTTGAGTTCAGATAATATTGGGCAGGGACTGAAGTGATATGAGGGAGTTAGGGTGATGGAGAGGGCTAGGATGTTACCAGGGTAGAGGACAGTCCCGAAACGGTATGTCTGTGAATGAATATATGTGTTAAACTGGAGTGGGGGCAGGGGCAGCCTGTCTCCAGGGGAGTCTCAGTCTTGGTGCAAAGAGATGGGGAAATTGCTTTGAGCAATCGAGGTTCCATGAAGCCATTAATTGAGGAAAGACAATGAAGGGTGCGGAAATTATTGAGTAGTGACTGGGGAGGGGGGGTGGAATTGGTGATTCCTGCTCCCCAGTTGGCATAGTGGTTAAGTGCTATGGCTGCTAACTAAAAGGTTGGCAGTTCAAATCCACCAGGCGCTCCTTGGAAACTCTGTGGGGCAGTTCTCCTCTGTCGTGCAGGGTCGCTATGAGTCAGAATTGACTCGATGGCAACGGGTTTGGTTTTTTTGGTTTGCTCACCAGCTGCAGGGAGATGGGTTTATTCCTGAAATCCATGGAATTGGATGATGGGTGGGGATGTTTGGAGTTTGGATTGCTAAATCTTTCAAGTACAAGAGGACCCATCCCTGAAGCGCATGGGTTGAGTAAACATCACAGGACTTTTTTTTTTCTTCCCCACAGGGGAGAGATTGGATGGGTGTGTGCAGAGTTTACAGTGAAACTTTGCTGCCCTGGAGGGAGGACATGTGGGCAGCATTGGAGCAAAAGCCCGGGAGTGGGAGATATCCAAGTAGAGCGCAACTGGTGGAACTTAGTTGGGGGCCAGGCAGGTGTGCTGAAGGCTGTTTCCATTTTGTCAGTGAAGGCACTTTGCCCTGTCCCCACCAGGCTGGCTCCTTGCAGGTGTTTAGGACATTTAGGACATAGTGTGGCACTTTGGATAACAAAAGGAGCAGAGATCTAGGTGTCATCCCAGGTGACAAGCATCTCATCTGAAGAGCATTATTTTGAGGCCCCTCCACCTCTATTTCTTGACATCCGGCTCTGACCAGAGCTTAGAGCTTTATGTGGTGAGGAGGAGGAGCCTTGGAACCCGAAGAGGAGGAGAGCATGATGCACTTTGGGTTTTAGTCTTAAATGTCCAGACTGACAGGCTTTTCTCATTCTCTTGACCCTTTTTCCTATTCCCAGATAAATTTTAGAATCTGTAGAAAGCTGTAGTTTTGAAAAGAAGATGAGGCAGGAAAAGGAAGGGCCCTTCAGAAGAGATCTAAGTGAGTTTTGAAGAGAGGTACTTCCTTCCCACCCTTTGTTCTCCTCTTGAAGCCTGCCAGGAAAGGTCCAAAGGGCCAGGGAGGCAGAACCTGCCTGGCATCTGCATTTCCTTCCTGAATTGTGCCCTGTGTATGCTGGGGCGCATGTGTGCATCCCTGGGTGGGTGGGGGCATCTGAGACATTTGGCTGTGGCTGCAGTGCTGCTGCTGCAGCTCTGGAAGGGTGCGAGTGAAGGTCACACTGAAGTGACTACGGCTCTGAGTCCTAGCCCAGCAGTGTATCTGTGGCCCAGTCCTTTGGAATCGCACCCTCTTGCTGCTGAGGAGCAAAGGAGAAGCGTCTGGGTTGGCAGCTGTAAAGTAACAACCTCAGAGCATCCTACAGGAGTTGGCCAGGGCTGGTCTCTTTGGGGGCAACTTGAGGCTCACCTGATGTTTGAAGGTTGTCCCTGTTGATTTTTCTGACCCATTTTCTAACAGGATTCTCCTTGATTTGATTTTTGCATATTCTTGGATGTGATTTTTGCTGCTGTTCTTGAAGATAAAAGGCTCATTGTTTTCTACGAAGTTTCTTCTGAGGGTGCAGAAATTCTGGCCTCCGAGTTGGGAGTATTTTTCTGCACTGTCGACTTTCTCTAATGGGAGGAGAACCTCAGGAGCAGCATCCTATAAACTGGAAGATTTACATTATTTGACTCATTCTGGAGGAGGAGAGCTGTTATCAGGAAGTAAAGACTTAGAGCCCTTTTTTTTTTTCCTGCTACTTTTTTGCTTGGTGTGATGTTTTTCTCAGACCCTTCTGTATGCTTCTTATGTCCTGGGGGACCTTTGTGGAGCTAGAAAATAGCAAGCTAACTATTTACCTACCAGCCTGGAGCAAGGAGCCAGATTGGCGGACCCACCACGTAGAAAGGAGGGCATAGCCGTTCATGCTTCTCCAAGAGAAGGGCCCGGCGAGTTCCACCCAGGGTCTGGGAACTGAATTGATTTGTATGGGTACACCAAGGGCTTTTGTCTCGGCTCTCTGACCTCACAGCTTTGATCTAGGGGTTAGCTGTTGCTCTGTGTTACAAACGCAAGCCACCTGGAGGAGTGCCACTAGCCCTCACACCTCTGTGGAGTTCTGGCCACTGTGGGGACTTGCTGGCATGACTTCTCTATCAGGTTATTGCTAGTATCTCCCATAATGTATGGTCACTGAAATGGAGAAGAGAAGAAAGTGATCAGTGAGGGTGCCTTTGGATAGCTTCTGGAAGTCAGGACACAAGCTGGGTGTCCTCTTTTGGTGGCTTTGTGTTAATAGCTTGTACTGTCATGTTCTGCCCCAGAGCAGAGATGGTTGGTACATGCTCTTAGGGTGATTAAGCCTCCAAGAAGCTTGGCCCCTTCCTGGTTTCCCCTCGAGGGCTATTGTTGGGAGGTTCTCCTGTGTTAACCTCTCTGTTTTAATGAACTCATTTGGCAAGTCTTGTTGTGGAAAATGTAAGTGGGGGAAGGGCTCTAAGAAGCCAGCTCCGAATGTGAGTCAGAGACCCGGGAAGTAGCTGGTGTGGGACAGGTTTGCACCGAATCACAGGGTTCTAAATGGGATGCCAGAAGGGCACAGAGGGTCCTAGCTGCTGGGTTTTTTGACAGGAAGTATATAGTGTCACATGCAACGAAATGTTTGATGATGCTTTAAGAGCCTCGAGCCAATTTCAGAGCCTGAAGTTGACACTGTTTTCTTTCTCTTATAGTCGAGTCGTCCTGCCCGTGTCTGTAGATGAGGTAAGTTCTTTTTCTTTCTTCCCCATGGTTGTATATGATTCCTCATGACCGTTGGCTAAGTTGGGCTCTGAATGGCCCAAACGTTTGCAGGTCCTCCGTAAGGTGTTCCTGTTTGTTTGAAAGTACATATTACCAGTGCCCGATGTGAATTTTCCTGATACCATTTGGAAACCCTTGTGGTGTAGTGGTTAAGAGCTACGGCTGCTATCCCAAAGGTCATCAGTTCGAATCCACCAGATGCTCCTTGGAAACTCTATGGGGCAGTTCTACTCTTTCTACTCTGTCCTATAGGGTTGCTATGAGTCAGAATCCACTCCACGGCAATGGGTTTTTGTTTTCACTTAGAAGAAGACGCTTATTTTGTATAACTGGGCAGTTGTGTGCAACCTGCCCAGAGCTGTTGGCCTGCTGGATGACTTTGAACAGAGACAAAAGTAACTCTTTTTACCTGCTGAGATGGTGCCTGTTTGGTGCATGCTCTTGATGGGATTAAATGTGTGCATTTCTGGGACCTCCCAAAAGTGCGCATGGCTCTCTCTGGTTGTGCAACAAACCAGCAGGGCGGGAAGTCTACAGGGCTCTCCCTAGCCATTGTAGGTGACTGCTGGGGAAGACCAAGATACAAAACCCTCCTTTTACAGAGGGCAGGGAATAACAAATAGGCTTGGTTTGCCCTCTATCCTTTTTTATGGTTCCTGGGCCTGACATTCCTGTGTGTGGCAGAATGTGCCACGAGAAGGTTCATAGGTCATACTGACTCAGAATGGGTCTCTTGGATGGCAGATACCTGTCATGGAGCCTCCCCTGTCCTACCCTGTCTCTTTTGCCTCAGCCTTGCTCTTTGCTTCCTTATGAATCCACAGCCCCTTACAGAGGCGTCTAGTCAAGCTCAAGTCTGGGTGCAGTTTGTGGTGACAAAGTACAGTGCCCTCAGTTACTGGACTTCATCTCCCTTTCCTGCAGTGTCAGCGTGAAGCTCCTATGATAACTTCCACTCTGTTCCAAATATGAAATGGACCTTTGAAAAATGAAATCAGGCCAACAGAGCCTGCAACAGTCTTTAGCTGAGACAAATATCTAAGCTTTTAGGCCCCCAAGAAGGGTGGACGGGCACACAATCGTTTGAGGATTGTCTCGAGTGGTGGGCTCACATCTCATCAGAGCTGTGGAGACCTGGGAGCAGGGCTTGGACATCATCTGGGAGTTCTGGGAAGGGAGGGTAAAATAAACAAGACTGGGAAACCTGGGGAAGAGAGGGGATGGGCTGGATATATGCTGTGAACCTTGGAGGCAACTGAGATGTACCAGGGCCCAGGAAGTAGATGCCTGAGCCGACAGGTGCTGGCTTTGGGGAGCCCTGTTAACCCACCTCCCTTGGGGGCCTTGCTGTCTTTACTAAAAAGTAATGATTTTCCAAATCAGGAGGACACAGCAGGAAGGCCCAACATGTCCCTTGCCCTGAAACCCAGCTCTCGGGGGTCCACTGACTTCCTCTCTGCTGTAGAGGATGGTCCTGCCCCCTAGTTAGGAATGATGTCCTCCAGGAACTTGGGGCTACTGCAGTGTGGTGTTTAGGGGTGAAATGGATACTTGTCTCTTTCTGCAGGGAGTTTCTTGGTGGCATGGGGGGGAGGAGTGTCTCTGAGAACTGCTGCAGACTAAAGGGCCTAACACTGTCCTTGGAGCACCTCTTGGCTACTCTGCAGTAAGGCTGGAGGGGCTTATTGTGGAGCCCAAGAAGGGAGGGAAGGGGGAACTCTTGCCTTGAGGTCTGTTTTTAGTTTGTGATGGTTTTTCCTGCACCACTGAGGAAGTGATGGGGTGGGCGATCAAAGCCTGAAGTCTCAGCTGAAGTTTGGGAAGTAAGCACAGGTTAGGATTCATCTCTCTGCCTGGTGTGGTCAGCCTGTCTCAGCAAGAAACCCGTGAAGAGAAAGCAGTGCATATCCTGGGTAGAGTTGAGACAGACTTGAACTTTAGTTTCAGAAGATCAGAAAGTTGAGTGGTGCCACCAACGAACAAGTAATGATTGACGTTCTCAGAGTCTTTGTCAATAAACCCATCCTGACTCGAGGTTCGTATGGGAACAGCCCCGCATCATGTGACTGTTGGATTCACTTCTCAAATTGGAGGCCATGACTTCATGTCCTTGGAGCTTACTGAGTTTGGGGAAAAAAGAGAAAAGAGAAGGCAATGTTTTAATAACGATCCTCGTGGCCTGGATCAATACCTTGGGGGAGGAATTAGCTTCTGGCTGGCAGAGCCTTTGACCCTAACACTGCACAAGGTTTCTAGGCATTTGGAGCAGAGCAAGAAAACCCTGGCTGTTTGACATGGATGTGTCCATCAGTGATTCCTGGTTCAGGCCGCTCCACCCTTCCCCCGCCCTTCCAGAGATGCCAGGCACCATCCCCTGTAATACCCAGCCCCACAGGGCCATGTGGGTGGGACCAACAGCTTTACTGTTTCTCATGCCATGTTTCATATCAGTATTTCAGGCCCGCCCACTACATTGTCCTGGGCTCCCACTCTCAGATTGCCGATGCAGTGGTCTCTTAGCTGAGTTTCTTAGTTCTTTGGGATTAGGGAACAAATCTCAAGGGCAGAGAGAATCGCCCTAGGCCTGAGGAGGTGGAGCTCCCAGTCTCCTCAGGGCTCTTTATCTGATTCAATGGTCTGACCTCCATCTCCACCCCATCTGAGTCTGGCTGCTTTCCAGGGTGTGGAACAAGTGCCAAAGGGAACCCTGTGACGTGAAGAAAACTGTTCCTCACTTGTGGCTTGTGAAAACCAGTCTTACTTACCGTTTAGGATTGACAAAACTGCCTTTGCTTGTCTCATTGGGATTAAAGGATCAGAATATCAAGAGAGATTAAAGGGGGAAGAAGCCAGCCCAACAGGCTGATCCTCTTAGACCTTGCCGTCTAACTCCTGCAGCTGAAAAGGAACCAAATAAAGGGGATTAGTCTCTGCCTCAGGCCCCCTCCCCAAGCAGGGCACCAGCTGCAACACAGCCCCTTCCACCCTCTGCCCTGCCTGCCCTTTATGACTGCTAAGTCAGTGGTTAGAAGTTCTCTGAAACAGTTACTGCTCCTTAGGAAGCCTGGCTCAGCCAAGCCCTAACCCACTTCATGGGGATTTTTATGTGTGCCTCAGCCAGGGAGACGACTTGGAACAGAGACACCTGGGGGTTTCATGGAGGCATTGAGGCAGCACTGATGTTGCTCAGAATCAGCAAGGTCAAGGTGACTAGCTCTCACCAGATGTTCCTCTTTATGGGATTCACTGAGCCTTGATCTCCAGCCTGGACCTTTCCTTGGCATTTGTACTGGATTTTTGCTTTGGAAGTTAGAGCTCTTTCAGCTTCATGATGAGCAGTGAATTGTCCTGGTCTGCTGCTTCGCCTTTCAGATTTGCACAGAAATTTCCCTGGCAGTACCTGGGATGCTGCCTGGTAAAGCAGGCTTCCAGGCTCAAGGTGAAGCAGCCCTGGAAGCGGCCCCTGGTCCTTGCTGCTGCAAGCAGTGGTTTAAAATGGCAGCTGCCCAGAGACGCAGCCTCTCTTCTAATCTCCAAAGAGAGAAAATCCCTTGTCCTTTGCCCTGGGTGTACCAGAAGTTTGGGGAGCAGGGGAGAGGGTGGGGAAAGCCTTTATCATCCTCCCCATCTCCCCCGCATGTTGAGTAATCAAGAAACTCTTTGCCTGTTTCTCAGACTTCTTAAGCTGTTGTGCTTAGCTGTCACCAGTAGTGATAAGGAAGATGCATCCGTTGGTATAGATGTAACTTCCTGCATTTAATGTTGCTGGTTTTTATTTTTTCCCGCAACTTACTTACCCTCCGCACAGCTTCCCTCAGACAGGAGGGGGGCAGAAGGGCCATGCCTGGGTACTGCCCAGGTCATGGGCCCTAACACTGGCCCTAACTCTGAGCTGTCTAGAGGGCATCAGAGGAGGCTAGTGATCTTGACTGGTGACTTGTTAGGGTGGCATTTGACCCAAATAAAGGAAAATCAGGCTTTTGCCATTTAGTAGGTGCCAATGCAGAGGGTGGACCCAGCCAGCACAGACTGTGGGGTAGGAATCTATGCTATCTAATATGGGAGACAGCAGCACTTGCTTCAGCCTCACCAGGAATCTGGAAAGCTCCAGGAGGTTGGGTTGCCAGCAAGACTCTTCTTTGAGCTGCTTGTAGGGTGAGTTGGGACCCAGCACTGGAGAAAAAAGCAAGTAGATGAGGCAGTTTTACAGCAGGGGTTGTGGATTTCACAGAGCACTGGGCAACTTCTTTAACAAGAAATCATGTCTTAGGATCTGTTTAAATGAGTGGGATAAGAGGCTTCTAGCCACCAACCCAGATCCTGTTTGGGAACCTTGATACCAGAGGCAGGCCCAGGGCAAAAGCTACCTTGGATTCTGTAATGTGTTTTCTAGATGGTGGTATGAGATTAAGTATATTCACCTGCCTCTTTGCTCCTAGTAAGCCCTGGTGGATGTTGGGAAAAATGGGAAGGATGCAGTGAAACATCCGATGGAGAAAGAGAGGCCATGGAGCAGCCTTCTTAGTTGTTGTGGGTGGATTTGGGCAAGGCCCCGTGTGAAACTCCAGAATGAGCTTCCGGATGAGGGAATCCCAGAGTGATCTAATTGGACAGTTACCAGCAACTGGACTGTGTGTAACCGTTAAGAAGATTCTGTGTTGAGAATAACTCGTCTCTCTGTTCCTATAGTATCAAGTGGGGCAGCTGTATTCTGTGGCTGAGGCCAGTAAAAATGAAACGGGTGGTGGCGAAGGTGTGGAGGTCCTGGTGAACGAGCCCTATGAGAAGGATGGCGAGAAAGGCCAGTACACACACAAGATCTACCACTTACAGAGGTATGTGACTACGGCAGCAGGGCTGAAAGGTGGCCTGTTTTGAAGTGGAGATAATGGGTAATTGGAGGGTGTTCCTGGGTTGTTAGCTGGTTGCTCAAGTTGTTTCACTGTGAGAGTAGGTGATGCTTTGTTCTCTTAAAGTTTCATTTTTTTTTTAAATTATAAAAGTGATACATGCCCCACCAGGCTCCCAGTCCGCAGAGATAATATTGTTTAGTTTCGTATGGATCCTTCCATTGTCTGTGCATATACAAATATACAGATGGATGTATATGTATGTGTGTATAAATGCCTGTTGATTTCCTTTATTGTTATTTTACATAGATGGAATCATGCTCTACATGATGTTCTTCATTTTGCTATATTGTTAGCTTATCATATAATAGCTATCTTTTGCTATCAGCATATCCTGTCTCATTCTTTTAAAGTATACATAGTAATTTGATACTCATTTTCAGATGTTTACAAATTAGTGCTTCAGTAAAAATTCTTCTGCATAAATCTTGAGGAACTTATCTGTGTAAATCTATAGTAAGTGTTTCTAAAAGTGGAATTTCTGGATCCCAAAATATTTTTTTAAATTCTGATAGATATTGTGAATCAGTTACTGGAGAGAGTTTGCTGTCTTTGGATCAACGGCATAAGTATTTAAAAGTAAAAAGTAAAACTTGAACTGATTTGTGTACCAAAATCAGTAGCAAGGCACACAAATTTGCTAAATCTCTCACTGAAACAGTAATATCTCAGTCAACTATGAGTTGACCCAAAGGACGTTGAGAGCAATAGTAAACATACAGCGGCTTGATTGGAAGCAGAACCAAGCTAGTTTTAAAAACTATCCAGAACTGGAAAAAATAAACCTGAATCTTAATTGCTAGTCACTAAATCAAACTGAAGCCAATTTCATCTTCATTTGGTTAAATCCCTGATTTAATGAGGCCTGCTACTCTGGTGATGTAAAATGCTAGCCCCGAGGTGTCCAGGGTTTTGTGAGTGCCGGAGCCGGAGGAGAGGAACACTGTGAAATGGGGGGAGATCTCTTCACCATGCTCCCATTTCCTTATCAGTGCACTCTTTCTCCTCCATGCCTTGTCTTCTTCCCCTTCATTCCTGCTGCGAGTTAACTGCTAGCCAGTCCTTACTGAGGAATGAACAGTTGATTCAGATCAGTGTGAGACTCAAGATATGCCTCCCTCATAGTGTATTTGTATTTTGTAAAGAGATGGTGAGGTTGGGGTTTTACACAAAAGGGGCCAGTTGGTTCGTCAAGAAGGCTGATTAAACCAAAGTGGTAGAGAAGAGGTCTGTACATAATGAAAGTGGGGCCTGTCTTACCACTCCTCCTCTTCCTTAGAAGAGAGAATGTGAACTTTGAGCTGCTACCACTACTCTTTCCTTAACACCAAAACACCTAACTGCAGAAGAAAAAAAGCCAACGGTGCTGTGACTGCCACAACCACCTCTCCTCATAAGGATAAAAGCCTTAACGTGGCGGCCATCTAGTTGCCCAAATCAGAAACATGGGCTCACCGCCACCCTCTTCTTCATTCCTCAGATCAAATCAAGTTCTGTTAATTCCATCTCCTTGATGTTTCCAATGTTTCCATTTCTTTCCATCATCTCCTGGCTGGATTAGAGCCCTAGTGGCGCGGTGGTCAAGAGCTTGGCTGCTAACCAAAAGGTCAGCAGTTTGAATCCACCAGCTGCTCCTTGGAAACCCTATGGGGCAGTTCTACTCTGTCCTGTAGGGTCACTATCAGTCAGAATCGATTTGATGGCAATGAATTTGGTGTTTGTGGGTTGTCTGGATTACTACAGCAGCTCCTAACTGGTCTCCCTGCCTTCCACTCACCTTCACGTGCTCCGTCTGGAAGACAGATATGTTACTTCTTGGCATAAGAGCTACAGATGGCTCTCCTTTGCCCTCGGGACAAAGTCCATACTCTCTGACATAACTTACCAGCTCTTCTATGACTTACCTTCTGCATGTTCTCCTGCCATTCCCCATCTCATACCCTTCACCGGCTACACTGAACTTCTCCCATCCTTTGTCTAGCTAAGTCTTACTTATTGTCCACATGTTCCCTCAGAAGCCTCCCCAGTCCACCACACCCCCTCCCCCCATGCTCTCACAGTGCTCCGTTCAGCCCTGTGTTCACCCCATCATGGCACACACTTAACAGTGTTTTATTTGCCTGATTAGTTTTACTCCCACTAGACTGTAAGCTCCTTGAGGGCAAGAGCCATGTCTGGTCAGGTCAGTTTCTATTTGTATCCCTCGTGCCTGGCACATAGACGTATTCACTTGAATGAGTGTGGCAGTGAGTGAATGAATCTCGGAAGAGGTGGTCTGAGTGAGCTCCCACTGAGGTTAGCACTCTTTTCTTAGGCTTGAGGCACTAAAGCTGATGAGGTGGTTAGAATCTACTAAAGACTGTATAGGTTACCAGTTAAAAATCAAGGAAGAGGAATATGTGCACTTTTGTTCGGGCTTATAGTGTACATTTTGTTCTGTGACCTGAAATAGAAAGAATAGAAGAAAATATTTTGTTCTAGAAGGCATCTGGCCCTGAGGCCCTCCTGGGTTCACTGAACAGAGGAAAGCAAATCAGATCATCTTGTATCCTATGTATTCAGAGTTAGTCAGCCAATCACTGTGTCCCATATCCTTGCCAGGGGGCCAGTGAGCTCTGGAAGAATGTATAATGACTGATAAGCCAGAGCAGGTAGCCTGGGGGTCTGACCTGCTGTCCTATTCTTGGTAGGTGGTGGGGCAAGTTGTGCATGGATATTAGTAGCTAACAGAGCTGGGATGTCAGGCGCTGACAGGTGACGTCTCACCTGCTTATCTCATGGAAACTTGCTCTTCAGCTCCACACTAAAGAAGCTGGCCTAAAGAGTGTGATAGAAAAGCCCATTGTTGTCTTCCTCTCTCCTCCATTTCTTTTTATAACACCCTTTTCTCACTATAGCAAAGTGCCCACGTTTGTTCGAATGCTGGCCCCAGAGGGAGCCCTGAATATACATGAAAAAGCGTGGAATGCCTACCCTTATTGCAGAACCGGTGAGTGCAGACCTGGCTAGAAGCTGGAGTTTGGGCCCCCAAGGTGGACCATGGGTATGGTCAAGGAGCTCCAAGGCTATGGGTGAATCGGGGCTTTGTGTCCCACCTTCACTGTCCAGATTCAGCCAGTGAAAGGAAGAGGTTGGGGTCTCCCTTCAGGCTGGTTTTATCACTGTCAACCAGCACAACTTGGCAGCTAGCTGGGTGGGAACCGCCACATAGTCATGGCCTGAGGTAACCCAGAACCCTTCTTATTTGGAAATGGTATGATAATTTGGATTGTTTTTACTGATTACAACAGTAATGTTCTCTGTATAAAATTTAGAAAATAACATAAAAACGGAAAGAAATAATCATCTGCGATTCTTCCATTAATATTTAATGTATTTTTATCTAGTCCTTTTTTCTGTGACTATATAGATAATACATAAAATGTGTGTATGTAAATAATCTGCAGACACATTTTCTAGAAAAAATTGAGATCACATGATACTGATGATTAAATTACTCATTTTTACTCAATAAATAGAGAATGTTTTCCATTTTACTAGTCTCTGTTTTTAAAAAAAAAAAAAATTAATGGCTGCATAATATTCCATTATATGAATGCACTGTAGTCTTTTTAAACCAATCCCCCATAGTTAGATACTGAAATTTCCCATTTTAATGTCATACATTTGCTTGAAAAGCAGCACTGAGGCCCAGGGACTCTTGAGAGAGGCAGCCATAGGAAAAGGCCTGTAGGGTGACCTTCCTGCCCTGAGGAAGGAGCTAGGCCTAGACACCAAGAAAAGGCAGCAAGGAAAAGCTGCTGTTGCTGGGGAAAAGTTAAAATAAGCCCAGTTTTTTTTTTATGACAAAGGATGGCAGCTACCCCCAAAATTTGTCACACACATGGAGTGTGCATGGCAGACGACTGTTGTTCAGGGGGAGGGACACCGTAAGAGCTCAGAACCCTGGCTGACACTGAACGAGCATGTTCTATAGTTGGATGTGTGTGGGGGTGGAATTAGTTTCTTAATCCCAGTCAGTTTCCTGTCTGGAGTTTCTGGAAAGGAAAGATTTGAGCCACCACAGAGAACTTTCTATTCTAGTCTAGATATTCTGGGATTCCGTTTGAATCGTTCAGACTCTTAGCTCTCCAAGATTCCTCGATCTCAAAGGCTATCTATCTAGGAGTAGACCTCTTTGAGGGCCTAGGCTAGTTACTGATCCATATCCCAGAGGGGGAGGGGGAGGGTGTCATCCTCCAGCAGCCTCCATTTGTTGGCACAGGCACTGGCTATGGGGTCCTTCTGCTAGCCTCTGCTTACCTGTATTACTTCACTTGCTTTATTTATTGGAACCTGGCACTCCCTAGGAGCACAGTGGTTAAACGCTGGCTGCTAACCGAAAGGTCGGTGGTTCGAACCCACCAGCTGCTCTGCAGGAGAAAGATGTGGCAGTCTTCTTCCATAAAAATTTACAGCCTTGGAAACCCTATGGGGCAGTTCTGCTCCATCCTATAGGGTCACTATGAGTCAGAATCAATTTGTTGGCAGTGGTTTGGTTTTTTATTTGCTTTGGCACGCCTTAGATTGTATCTGATGAGGATGCTGTACCCATGTGATCCTTATCCTTTGGACTTTGGGAATGGTTAAAGTCCAGAAAACAAGGTCATTGCTCTCTCCACTCCTCAGTGGCCCCACACAGGTTCAAGGAACTTGAACCAGGAGATACACAGTCATTGGTAGGCCCTGGGGAGGGAATGTGTAACACTTAGAGTTTTATTGCTGTAGCTGAAATTGCAAGCATCAGGCAGGAAGTTGTTAAATTCTTAGAAACAAGGCATGCACACACTTTCTTAAAAGACAGTGTGCCATGTGGCTGAGTATGTCTGGTCTAAGGCCAAAGGTGAGTTTTCTTGTCTAAGAGGGTTGCACTGGGCAAGCATTGTAAGAACCGTAGCCAACTTGGCATAAAGGAGGCAAACAGATAGCATGGACTTCTCCATGCCAGGGCGGGGTTCTGGGTACACACCTTGTGCCAACTGAGAGATGCCACCGTCCTCTGTGTAATTCTGAGGAGAGTGTGCTGCGGCTGACACGGGCATTTTTCTCGACAGCAAATGTTAGTTCACATATTGTCCTGATCCTTGGCCAAAAGAAAAATGTAATTTCTAAATACCCCATGAAGTGGAGAGGCAGAGAATGGGGGGAGGGAAGGTTGGTTTTGTAAGTGGGTGCTGAGCTCACAGTCAGACTCCGGCTTCATATGAATGAGTATATTGAATCTTAGATCTTTTCAGGTAGACTTGCTCTTTTTTTTGTGATTTAGGTGAAAGTTTACAGAGCAAATTAGTTTCTCATTCAAAAATTTATAGACAAATTGCTTCATGGCATTGGCTGCAATATTGCATTGTGTCAGCACTCTCCCCCTTTCCCTTTCCACCCTGGGTTCACCGTGTCCATTTGTCCAGTTTTCCTGTCCCCTCTTGCATTCTCATCTTTGTTCCTGGACAGGCATTGCCCATTTCATCTTGTTTACTTGATCTAAGAAGCACGTTCCTCTGTGTGTTATTGTTTGTCTTATAGGCCTGCCTAATCTTTGGCTGAAAGGTGAACTTCAGGAGTGGCTTCAAGTCTGAGTTAAAAGGGTATCTGGGGGCCATAGTTTCAGGGGTTAGACTTGCTCTATTAAAATAAGAACTATAAACAGGCAAAGAAGGGGCTGTTAGGAGAAAGATGATTAGTTCAAGCATCTTCGTTTGGCCTAAGGAGATCGAAGTTTGAGGTGAGATGACAAAGCACTGCAGTAAAGTTCCCCATACCTTTTGGAAGGCTCTAACCTTATTCTGAGTGGAATGAAAATGGATTTGGAATGCCCGACTCGTTATCAGCTCTTATCCTTTTTATTTCTTTCCTTGTTTCTTTTCCCCTGAAGTTGATCGGTTGGGACGTGAGGAAATGGTGAGATGAGGTTGGTTCACGAATAAAAGTGAAAAGAGTAAAAATGATTCTCTTCCCTTTTCTTCCACTTCTTTCTCTAACCTTAACCCTTGGCTAAAAACAGTATTGTTAAGCCATGGTTTTGAAGTCTACCTTATGATTGTCTTATGAGGGCCCTGGTGGCACAGTAGTTAAGCACTTGGTTGCTAAACAAAAGGTCGGTGGTTTGAACCCACCAGTTTTTCTACGGGAAAAAGATGTCACAGTCTGCTTCTATAAATATTTGTAGCTTTGGAAACCCTATGGGATAGTTCTACTCTGTTATGTAGGGTCGCTATGAGTCAGAATGGTTTTTTTGGTATAATTGTCTTACTTGGAGAGCCCTTATTTTCGTACTGCAGAGGGTTTCCTGAGACTTTTCCAATTCACCTAGCGTTGCAGTCTGAAGAAAAGGGAGTGCTGTGAATGCAGAGGTGTTTGGAGGAGCAGGGAGGCTAGAGAAGGTTTGGGGAAGGTTGTTCACCCAGGTTAGTCCGGGGAGGATCATCACCCTCATAGGTTCAAAAACCTAATTTGTCAGAACTGAGTGGAGCTATTTCTTAGGGTCTTGTAAAGACTAATGTATAAAACCCCCAAATGCCAGTCTATGAAATTGTATCAAAATACAAAATTACTATTGAAACCAGATATTCCTATTTGCTGATTAGAGCATTCTTTCCTTGTGGACTCTTCCACATGGAAACCAAATGGTGAAAAATATAACTAAGTAGGTCAGACTCTTGTGTTCATTGGTTAGCACACTCTGTTCCTATAGAAGCCAAACTAGAAAGAGGCGGTCGCTTGAAGAACGAGGACTCAGAATAAGGTGGTTAGTTGGGGAACCTTAATGGCTGGTGTCATCCGACCAAAAATAAAAACAACCAGTTGCCATCCTGGTGACCCCGTATGTGTCAGTGTAGAACTGTGCTCCATAGGGTTTTCAGTGGCTGGTTTTTCAGAAATAGATTGCCAGGCCTTTCTTCCGAAGTGCCTCTGGATGGACTTGAACCTCCAGCCTTTGAGTTAGCATCTGAACATATTAAGTGTTTGTACCACCCGGGGACTGTCATCAAACCACGCTAGGCAAATACCCAGCGAATTTCTGATAAATTGGCCTCTTTGGACTTCCTTTGATGGATATTATAGCCATCATTTCCTTTTTTGTTAACGTGGTTTCCTTCAAGCTGAGAACAGGACAGTTACTTAGATACAGGTCTTTCAGTTACATTCTTTATCTGATGATTCTTTATCTGATGCCTTGCAAGTATGTTTCATTGGATTTGGGGGAAATTACTGACATCCTCTTGGGTCATTCCTATAGATGCTGGATCGTATTCTTTATATTTCCCATTTTCCTCATTTCAACTTCAGTTTTGGAGTTTGACTGTCAACCCCGTATTCTATCCAAACATGGCAGTGCGACATTTCTCAGAAATGGAGATAGCGCCTAACTCCAGAGGATACAGCATGAACTGAGCTGTTGTCAGGAGGAGAGCTTGTCTGTTCCCCAGTGACATAAGAGCTGCAGTCATTTTCTCTGATCAATAATTGAAGCGTGTTTTCCGAGGGGGTCTCATTACAATGAGCAGGCGTGCCATGGGTGAGAGGTTTGGTTACAGTGCAAGGAAGGATGAGGAGGGCAGGTAGCGCCCTGCCTCTAGTGCCCCACTCTGACCACGGGGGACCCATGATGCTGGGACAACAGAGTGCTGGATCACAGCACTTCCGCTCATCGTTACCGTCCCTCCCCTGGCCAGAATGGAAAGAGTCCAGAGAAGCAGACAGTGGCATCGCATTAATTCTCCAGATTTGGTCTTTTGGGACTTCTGCATGAGTGAAACTTGAGGGTTGGTGAATTGATGTATTCCTGCCTCACTGGAGCTCGGGGGTGACTGGAATAGGCCCCTGGGAGTGAAGAACTCTGCTATTCCTGGTCACTGGGGGGAGGGGGCAGAGATTTTTTTTTTATCCTCACTAATCTTTTTTTTCTTCTTTCCATGTCCTTGCCTTGGAGCAGTTATTACAGTAAGTATTTTTCAGGGGGATTGGAATTATAGATGATTTTGTAAGAAAATATGAAATAAAAATATGTAGCTGCACTGGAGGCTCCTAAGTATTCCTGTTGTTTCTCTTGGGTGAATTTGGAATTGTTGAGGCTTCATTTTTTCAGTCCTAATGAGGAACGTGTTCACCGGCATAGTGGCCTCTTGCTTCCAGCTGCATTAGCATTGGGCGTTCTAAGGGGCAGCAATCAGGACCCCAGTGTCCTAGCTCTGGGTCTCAGATGTACAGAATGGCCTGAGGCCCTCCCCCACTCTCCTCAGGTTAGGTAGGAATTTCAGTTCAGCTGACCTGAAAGTAGCTTCCTTTCTCCCGGCATCTTTTGACCCCAGTCAAAGCTGACCCTTGACTTAAAGTCATTAAGGTTTCTTTTCCATGACTAGCCCCTCTGTCATTGCCCCTTCTCCCTAGTCTTTCGGCATCCTCATCCAGGTGCCGTATCCCTGCTAGGAAATGTAGACAGTTTCTGGGGTATTAATTCCTGCTGAGGTATCAATGGGTTGATAAGATCCTCTTTGAATAGTTATAATTTTTAAAAAGTACTAAAGGGAGAAGACAATAATTAGCATGAAGGGTTAAATTCTAAGAAGAGAACTTCAGGCTTCAGCAGAAGGCCAGTTGTGGGGTGAGGGGGCAGTGGTGCATATTTTTGGTTGTTTAGGAAGTCTTCCTTGTGTTTTTCCCACACTCCTAATTAACCATTAGCACCTTATGCATAAGGCAGTGTGATAGAGTGCTTAAATACCTGGGTTTTGAAGTCAGACAGACCTGTATTTGAGGCCCAGCTCTGTCATTTATCACCTGTGTGGCCTTGGACAAGTCACCTAACCCTTTGAGCCTCACTTTCCTCATCTGTAAAACGAGGGTTATACTACTATAGACCTCACAGGCTGGGATAAGGATTAAATGAGATAATGCTTGCCCAGTAAAGTTAGCTGTTATTTTAAGGCAGACCCTGGAGTCTCCCGACTGCCCATAAACCAGTCATGGGAGATGGTTACTCTCCCACTGTGAGCCTGGTGACTGTAAGATACTTTTTCTCCCCTTCCAGAATGAGTACATGAAAGAAGACTTTCTGATTAAAATTGAAACTTGGCACAAACCAGATGTTGGCACCTTGGAGAATGTAAGTAGCACTTCCCAAAAACCCCAATGACTTCCAGACCCCAGGGCAGAGTCATGAGGCTCTGCTCTGTAGCCCCCGTGTAGCTTGTCCATCCCTGACATGAAGTCCTCTCCATGGACCCCTTTTCCCTGGCCGGGAAGGAAACGGCCTCTGCCCAGACCTGTCCTGCCAGCATGGGATTGCTCTGCCTCTGATTCGTCAAATGTGACCTTCAGGACTCCTTGCAGGGCCTTCTCAAAATGCTTGGATTGGTCTAAAATGCAATTCCTGGTACACAGGAAGTGTATTTTTAAAACATCAAAATTACAACCTCTGTAGAGCCCAGTTTGCCAGTAACTCTCAAAATTTAAAATACACCTATCCATCACCCCAGCAGTTCCACACCTAGGAATTTATCATACATTTATGCTTTTACATTTGTGAAATAACATACACAAGGACATTCGTTGTAGCATTCTTTGTATAAAAAAAAAAACAAACCTGTTGCCGTCGAGTCGGTTCCGACAGAGTAGAACTGCTCGATAGGGTTTCCAGGGAGCGGCTGGTGGATTCGAACTGCTGAACTTTTAGTTAGCAGCCTGAGCTAAAGATTAAAAACAACATAAGAGCCCATCAGTTGAATTATGGCACAGACATGTAGTGAAATACTAAGTAGCCATCAAAAAGAACCATAGGGAACAATCTTCAAGATGTGTTGTTCAGTGACAAAAGTAAGATGCAAAACAGCATGCCTGTATGGTACCATTTTTATTAAAAGAAAGACACACACACATGGATGTTTGTATATGCATAGAATCTGGTGACAGTGGCTGTTAACTAGGGAGGAGACTGAGAGACAAGAGGAAGAGTTACTTTTTATTGTATATCCCTTCAAATGTGTATCTTAATTTTGTACCATGAAAAGCATCTACAACCTATTTGAATTAATTAAATTTTAAAAACCATCAAAGTAAGGGGTATATGGTTGTGCAGGCAGCCTCTCCATGAATGTTTACTATCTTTATAGGGGGGAACATATGGAAACAGCGTAGGTGCTGGAGGTAGTCCCCAGCTGAAGTGGTACTTAGCCTAAAAAATCAGAGCATTAGTTCTCAAATTTATTTTCACTTAAAATCCATTCTCCCAGTCATTGCATAGGGGACACTGAGCTTCTGTTAAGGGTCGTGGAAAAACTTGGAACGGATAATGGTGATGGTTGAACCACATGATGAACGTGATTAATGTCGCTAAATTGTCCATGTGAAGAACGTTGAAATAGCAAGTGTTTTATTACATACGTATTTACCACAATATAAAAAAATCCACTCTTCCATTCCTTCAGATAATTTCCTATATAAGTGTTTACCAGTTGAAATCTCATGTATATGGTTACGGAAATAGCTGTTCTTGGGTGTCCATTCTGGGCGAGGGGTGCTTTGCAGCTGACAGAAACCACACGATGGTCCACCTTCTTCCTGCAGGTGCATAAACTGGAGCCCGAGACGTGGAAACATGTGGAAGCTGTATATATAGACATTGCAGATCGAAGTCAAGTACTTAGCAAGGTAGGGACTGTTTAAAAATGTGAGGTGGCAGTCGAGATGCAGAAATGACTTCTAATTGTTAGACAACCCAGGGAATTATACCCTAACTTGACTCAAAAGGAAGTTCTTTCTGGTGTGTAGTATTTTGTTTTATTTTTTAAAATTAGTTTTAAGAGTTTCCTTATCTTGACTCAGGGATTAAAAGCAAAACAAAACTCATTGCCGTTGAGTTGGTTTTGACTCAAGGGCAGCCCCATGTGTTACAGAGTAGAACTGCTCCATAGCATTTTTTTGGCTGTAATCTTTATGGAAGCAGATCACCAGGCCTTTCTTCTGTGGCACCGGTGGGTGGGTTTGAACCATCAACCTTTCAGTTAGTAGCTGAGAGCAAACGGTTTGTGCCACCCAGGGACCTTGACTCAGGGATATAGCAGGAAAATAGTGGCCCAAATTTATGTGTCCTGTTTCTCTGCTGGAAATTATTGCTGGACAGTATAGATATTGTAGATAGTCCTGAGAGTGTTTTGGCCTGCTGACATGGTAGTTAGCCTGAAAAATCAGAGCTCTCGCTGTCAAATTCATTTTTCAACCCAGTAATTAAAAAACATTTATTACCTGCCTTCTCTGTTTGGAATACTCTGTTAGGTTCTAGGGTTCCAGATGAGGGGTGCAGAAAGTATGAAAAGACAAGTCCTCTGCCCTCAAGAAGTTGGTGGCTTTTCAGTAACAAATATTGCAGCAGGTGCCTAGAAAAGGACAGTCCACTGCTGGACTGTAAGCTCGATGAGAGCAGGGACCACGGATGTTTCACTCAGTGTTGGGTTCCCAGGAATAAAAGTGTTAAATTTCCCTTCATTCATTACTATTCTTATTTGACAGAGGCCTTTTGGGATTAAGGAACAGGAATTTGGCTCTTGCTCTCTGATAGAGAATAAGTGTTTGCCCTTCCGGTCCCGGGGGGATAGTGGGTGTGGTGTATGTTCTTTCCTATAGTCACTGTGTGCTTAAGACATTTTGATTTGTGCGTTTCTAAAAAGATGAAAACCATCTTGTGCTTCCTTGCCTAATATCTGCCCCCCTTAAAAGGTTAGTGGAGTCGGGAAAAAAAAAACAAATAACAATGCACAGTCAAACTTTTTATTGAAGTATAGTACATATACAAGAAAGTGAATATAAAGTGTGCAGTTTGATAAATTTTTCTCAAACTGAACATACTCAAATATTTCTCAAATAGAACATTACTAGCAAAAAGTATAGTTCTTTGAGTTTTTTGTCAAGTCTGATGGTTCTGTGTGAGTGAAGGGAAGCAGTGGAGGGGAAGATGGGAAATACTTTTTATAACTGTGTTTGTGTGAGAGAGAGAAAGTTATTATCCTCCTTACTTTTGTTAAGTAGGTGGTATATTGAGTTTGCTTTTCTTGAATCCACATTAGTCATTACAGAGGGACAGCTAAAGAGTAAACTTTTGTTGTGGTTATTAATGCACAGAATTGGCTGTATTGTAAATCAGTGAAGTGAGACTGACCCATGTTGCACAAGGGGATAGATTCTATACATTGAGCATTTCCAGTAATGATTTTATTAAAACAAGCCGGAGGGAGACTGAGCTAGAAGATTTCAGGAATGACAGCCAGGTGTTCTCAGCTCTGGCTGTGTTTCCGAATCACCTGCAGGCCTCACCCGCAGATATTCTTCTTCACTGGGTTTGAGGTGGGCCCACAAATCTGTGTTTTGAAAAGGCCCTCCTTGGATGCTCACCCCAGGTTGAAAATCCCTGTCTTAAGCAGTGGAAATATGTGCCTACCCAGACACTTTCATGTTTATAAGAACTGAAAACAAACCCTGGCAGAGAACATCACACAGGGCTCTCCTCTGAGGCAAATGTAAACCGTTCTATATCTTGTTTATAACATTCTCCTGTATTCACTGTGCGCCAGCAGCATCAGAACTGGTATAAAGTGTACACTGTGGTGAAAATCTGATCTTTCTCTTCCCCTCTTCCCTCTCTCCCTTCTCTCTTTCCCTCTCCCTCCCTGCCTTCCCCACTCCTCAATCCCAATTCCACAATCTCAGGATTACAAGGCAGAGGAAGATCCAGCAAAATTTAAATCTATCAAAACAGGACGAGGACCTCTGGGCCCCAATTGGAAGGTGCAGTTCACACTCTCACCACCAGGGGGATGAGTAGGGTGTTGGCGGGCCTCTCCCTGGGGAGGAAGGGAATAGCTGGGTCTGGGCTAAGGGAGAGCCTGAGGTCTGCCCTCTTAGTTACCTGCCTGCCTGTGGGTGTGTTTCTAATGCAGCAAGAAATTGTAAATCAGAAAGACTGCCCGTACATGTGTGCATACAAACTGGTTACTGTCAAGTTCAAGTGGTGGGGCCTGCAGAACAAAGTGGAAAACTTTATACATAAGGTAAGTAGCCAGCCTTCCCAGTGACCTCTGTGTGTGTTGGGGGGTTGCCAATCAAGAGACGATTGTACAAGTACCTCATACCTATGTGACTTGCATCCTAGGGTTACAACATTAGAATATTTCATAGTTTGGTTCCCCAGCTAGCTCCTTTGTACTTGTAGCTGTCTTACAGATTTAATGCTGTCCATCCAGGCATATCACGTGTGACAGGGAAGGAAACTGGCAAAAGACGGAAACAGGGAGGAGCTTGCTGTGACTGCGCTACAAATAAAACTCATATTCTCTCTCTTTTCTTTTTTTAATAGTGCTTTAAATGAAAGTTTACAGTTCAAGGTAGTTTCTCATACAAAAATTTATACAGACACTGCTATGTGACCCTAGTTGTTCTCGCCATACTATGACAGCACACTCCTCCTTTCCACCCCGGATTTCCCGTGTCCATTCAGCCAGCTTCTGTCCCTTTCTGCCTTCTCATCTCGCCTCTGAACAGGAGCTGCCCGTTTAGTCTCATGTATCTACTTGAGCTAAGAAGCACACTCTTCATGAGTATCACTTTATGTCCCATAGTCCAGTCTAATCTTTGTCTGAAGAGTTGGCCTCAGGAATGGTTTCAGTTTTGGGCTAACAGAGAGTCTGAGGGCCATGTCTTCCAGGGTCCTTCCAGTCTCAGTCAGATCATAAGTCTGGTGTTTTTACTACAATTTGAGTTCTGCACCCCACTTTTCTCCTTCTCTGTCAGGGACTGTCCATTGTCAGGATGGTCATTGGTGGTAGCTGGGCACCTTCTGGTCTCAGGCTGATGGAGTCTCAGGTTTATGTGGCCCTTTTGTCTCTTGAACTCATGTTTTACTTGTGTCTTTGGTGTTCTTCATTCTCCTTTGCTCCAGGTGGGTTGGGACCAATTGATGCACCTTAGATGGCTGCTCCCTAGCTTTTAAAACCCCAGACACCACTCACCAAGGTGGGATGCAGAACATTTTCTTAATAAATTTTGTTATGCCAATTGAGCTAGATGTCCCCTGAAACCATGGTCCCCAGACCCCTGCCCCTGCTACTCTGTTCCTCGAAGTGTTTGGTTGTATTCAGGAAACTTCTTAGCTTTTGGGTTAGTCCAATTGTGCTGACTTCCTCTGTAGTGTGTGCTGTCCTTTCCTTCACTTAAGATAATTCTTATCTACTATCTGGTTAGTGAATACCCTTCTCCCTCCCTCCCCACCTTCGTAACTGTCAAAGAGTGTTTTCTTCTGTGTTTAACTTTTTCTCGAGTTCTTATAATAGTGATCTTATACAATATTTGTCCTTTTGCAACTGACTAATTTCACTCAGCATAATGCCTTCCAGACTCATCGTTGTTATGAGATGTTTCACAGATTTATCGTTATTCTTTATCTTTGTATAGTATTCCGTAGCGTGACTATACCATAATTTGTTTTTCCATTCATCTGTTGATGGGCAGCTAGGTTGTTTCTGTCTTTTTGCTATTGTGAACAGTGCTGCAGGGAACATAGGTGTGCATTTATCTATTACTGTGATATGGCTCTTATTTCTCTCGAATATATTCCAAGATTGCTGGATCATACGGTACTTCTATTTCTAGCTTTTTAAGGAAGTGCGAAATCGATTTCCAAAGTGGTTGTACCATTTTACATTCCCACCAACATGTATAAGTGTTCCAGTCTCTCCACACCCTCACCAACATTTATTATTTTGTGTTTTTTGGGTGAATGCTAGCCTTGTTGGGGTGAGATGGTATCTCATTGTAGTTTTGATTTGCATTTCTCTAATGGCTAATGATCGTGAGCATTTCCTTATGTATCTATTAGCTGTCTGAATGTCTTCTTTGGCAAAGTGCCTATTCATATCCTTTGCCCATTTTTTAATGGGGTTATTTGTCTTTTTGTTGTCGAGGTTTTGCAGTGTCTTATAGATTTTAGAGATTAGACCCTGATCAGATTTGTCGTAGACAAAAATTTTTTCCCAGTCTGTAGGTTGTCTTTTTACTCTTTTGGTGAAGTCTTTTGATGAGCATGAGTGTTTGATTTTTAGGAGCTCCCAGTTGTCTAGGTTCTCTTCTGGTGTTTGTGCATTGTTACTTATGGTTTGTATTCTGTTTATGCCGTGTATTAGGGCTCCTA